AGCTTCTTCAGCCAGTAGGCGTGAACCATGTCGGGCCCTGGTGCTGTCCAACTCTTCATACTGGAGACCCTTTCTTGGATATCTGCCACTGTGATGGTTACTGGACCCTGTTCAGGGAGGTCGCTGTGGTCTGCCCTCAGATCCTCTAGCCACTGAGCATTGCCGTTATGGGTTGCATCCTTCTCCCATATGCTCTTCCAGTATTGCTCCGTCTCCAGCCTTGGTGGTGCTGTTCTCTTATTATTATTGTTCCCCTGCCACTGAGAGTACACCTTTGCTGGTTCTGTGGAGAACAGCTGGTTTATTCTCCTGCCTTCTATCTCTCTGGTGTACCTCCTCAAGCGGCTGGCCAAGGCTGTGAGCCTTTGCTTGGCAGTTTCCAAGGCCTCAGGTATGGACAGCTTGCTGTATTTCTTAGGCACCTTATTTGTCGCACCTTTCTGCAACTCCGTTAGTTGGCTAACCTCCCTCCGTGCTACTTTGATCTTGCCCTCTAGCCTCCTTCTCCATGGAGGGTACTGCCCCTTGTCGCTGTTCAACTTGTAGCCAAGCATCTCACTGATCACTGCTGCCGTATTGTAGATCAGCTTGTTAGTGTCGGTAATCGTGGTTGTAGGTATTGCCCGTAGTGCTGCATTAACATCATCTAGCAGACCTTCTGAGGGTACTTCACGTGTTTTGTTATTTAACAGGTAATCTGACCTGCATACCACAGGAGTCGGAGGTTTTGTGTCTCTTTAAACTTTTCCGTTTTGTTTATTTTTACTCTCAAGCATCCTAACTCCATCCAGATACAGACCTCCTCAAGGCAAATTTTAATAAAACTAACAAACAAAAGTCTATAATATGTTGTTCATAGTAGCTCTCTAAAAAACTTAAAACAATAAAACTTCAAAAAGTAAGCAATTTAAAAAATGATGCTAAAAAAACAAGTTTAGAAAATGCAAACAAAGTTGTCGACAAGTACATTATTCTTTTTGATGTCTTCCCAGAGCAAAAAAAACAGTTTCTGTTTTTATCTTTTTTTGAAGATTGCTTCATATATCACAGTGTAATGCTATTTTAATTGCGTGTTATGACAAATGTAATTCATACAGTCAAAGTCACATCTCCATTCAGTCAGCCTTCGTTAGCCGAGATGTACTACGTTATTATCTTGCAGTTCGGTGGATAAGAAAAGACCGGCTCTTCGCTTCCACGATCCATCTGACTTTATTTCTGATGATGCAACCTCAAACCTCAGTTACTCTTCCCAGACAAATAAATTTTGTCAATCACAAAACAAGCAGCAAACCCCACATAAAGGTTTGTTTGACTCCAAAATGTTCGCAGTATCACCGCAGCGTTCAAATTAGTGCCGTATCAGATGAATCTCTCCATCTCACCAGAAAAGTCATGCACCGAGAAATGTTTCTGATTGTTTTCTCCGTGTGTTTATAACAACCAGGAGACAGAGCCAGTGCGCAGATATGTGTGGTGACACATTTGTCGCCATCCCAATGAAGGCCCTATAATCTTCCCAATCAGGAAAACCAGAACAAATTAGGTTATGCAGCGCTTCCAGTGAGCCATCACAATAAATCATCGTCATGGCCCAGAGCATGTATAAGTAAGCCATAAAACAACAGGGCCTGGGAGAATAATGTTTGTTCCCAAGATTGGTCCACAAGTATTGGGTGATATACTGTGAGAAGAGTCCCATTCACATATATTTCTCACACGCTTATTGTACGGTGCAGTGAAAGTATTTCCCAACGATAGGTTACAGGGTCGGCAGGGTTTGGGTTTGGCTCTCATTCTTTTTCATTACGGGCTTTGCTGGCTGTGAACAAGCACCAGGCAATAAAGTATGATTGTTTACTGTCACTGTGAGAATGAATGGAAAGACAGTGCATTAAAAAAAACATCAAAACAAAGGCCTTACAATCAAAGTCACGTAAACAACAAACACTACTGGGTGTTTCTGTACATGAAGTTGACAGAAAAAAAACAAGTGGTTTGCACTGAAGCCTCACAGAGAGGAGGTTTGAGGTTTGAACCTGATCGTTGGTTTGGGAGTTTTCATGCGCTCAGTACGTGTGGGTGCTCTGATTTCTTTACACTATCCAAAGACATGGATGTGAGGCAATGGGGTTCTAAACTGGCTGTAAATATGGCTGTAAATGTGGATGTGAATGGGCATCTGTCTGTCTGTTTTAGCCCTGGGTGTGCCTCACCTCACCTCACCTGGGTCCAGCCTACTCAAATAGTTAGATAGACAGTTAATGAATAACTGCCACTAGTTTTGTAAACGTTTACCTGGGAAACACCATATGTTCTCATTACAGTTCTAACACAAATTAACTGTTGATGGGGCGATCGTGGCTCAAGAGTTGCCAGTTCGTCTTGTAATTGGAAGGTTGCTGGTTCGAGCCCCAGCTCTGACAGTTTCAGTCGTTGTGTCCTTGGGCAAGATACTTCACCCATTGCCTACTGGTGGTGGTCAGAGGGCCCGGTGGCG